AAATGGACTAACATCCTCAGACATGAAAACACTCTGAAAGTTCTTACTATCTGTCCTTAATCGGAGCAAATGTTTGAGGGACGTCCAAAAGGGTAAGTTTTTCAAGTCTAGATTTTTCTAGGACCAGAAAAACACACACTTGATCAAATAACAGGACTTCAGAGGACCAAGTGTTGGATCAGAAAGCTGTTTAAGTTGCTAAAACCCATTCTGGTTTGTGCTCCAACTTCCATCAGATCTTGGTCTCCTCTCTCTGCTCTGATGTCCTTCTGAGGGTTGAAAAGTTGTCGGTTCTGTGGTGGAGTCTAGATGTTTTGGTGGTTGTGTTTGACACAAAACTTCTTTATTACTCATAACAAGCAGGATAAACCAAAAAAAAAAGCCTGTTCAAACTTGAAAAGTTTAAAAGGAAAAACAAACTTTAAACGAAACCAAAAGTTAAAAACAAGAAAATAAGGCTTGTTTTTGGTTCTGACGGCATTCTGTTTTTTTTAACTGTGGAAAGCATTCTTTGGAGATAGAATTGCACAACAAACCATGATAAGGATCCCTGAAAGCAGTGATCCTTGAAGGCATGCTATATGCATTGAAAGGTTCACATGTATTCAAACACCTGGCAGATAATGGTTTAAACTAAACTTTTTATCTTACCATCATCTTTCTTCTGACCTGAAGTATTGTCAACATTTCATAGTGGAACAACTGATCAGTCCTTCTAAAAAGAGTTAAATAGCTTCAAAATTAGCAAAGATTTTACTACTTTTTACTGGGTTTCAATAATTTTTAATATGACATTATTTAATAAACCAAAAACTTTTTTTCTATATTTAAACTGTTTCATAGTGTTTTTATACCTTAAATGGTAGCTGCCTCTTTTTCATGTCTTTCCTTTTGAAAGTTGGAGATTTGCTAATCAATGCTGCACCTAATCGTTCTATGAAAAGCTTGTATTTGAGAGTAGAATACCAAAGCTATTATTCATCCAAGTATTTTTTTCTTTGTTATGCTGGCCTGAGTTCTCCTTCAGAAGCAGGAAAATACTTCAGTGGTTGGTGATAATCCAACTACTGAAGTATTTTCCTGCTGTTAACAGGAACATCATCATTCCTCGTCATGGATATCTGACCTGTTACCTTCCTTGTTAAATGCTTAAGCCATGTAAAAATATCTCGGAATTCCTTGTGATGATATAAGGCAGTTCAAAGGAACGGCTCCTTTTTTTCCATGCGTGGGTATTTCCTGATAAATGACACATTCATTCAAGCAATTCCTGCATAAACTAAAACCAAGGGTGTTTTAAAATAGGCAAATGAATGAATTTGTGCTTTATGCAAACTTTTAACTTCTTAAAAGTAGTTTAAGCAGTAATAAACCAGAGTCTCACTTAGTCTACAGTTAGAGCCATGCTGTGCATGCAGACAAAAATGTGTTAAATATCTGTTTTTTCACAACAGCAATATCATTTTTGAGGATTTTCTCTCTTATTTTTAACACAAACATATAGGTTTTAATTTCAAGCACTGGTTTATTGAGTTTTTTGAATCATTTAACTGTGGATTAGAGGGTTTTTTTATGACATAAGGAACATTTTACTTTCCTTCTGTTTTTGCTTTCACTAAAAAAACAAAAACAAACATGAAATCATTATAAACGATTCAAAACTGACCCGAAATACTAAATCTTAACTTTATTATGAACAACATACAGTAATTGTAATAAGAAGTGTGTTTAATCTATCCTGCTTCCAAATTTATAGTGTGCTGGTGACAAAAAAAAGAAAAAAGCTAGGGGCCAACTCCAGTTCACAATAAGGAAGCACTTTTTGACAAAAACTTCCGCAGAAGTGATTGTGAAACCAATATCAGCTGTCATACTTGGTTTCCTCCAGCACCTTTTCACACTCTGCCGACAGCTTTGCAAAGAGCAACTTCTTCAAAACAGGATGACAAAGACGACTCTGCAGTGGTGAGTCTTTCAAATATGGTTTATTTTTAAGATTATTTTTAGTTTTGTGCTCATAGTGCTGCTCTCACTGTCTCTAAATTTCTCTTGGCTGGTTCAAATGTGTAATGGATTTCTGTTAAGGAAAAAAATAAACACCTTTTAGCTGTGTTTGTTATCAGAACTCCTAACCTAAGCTTTTTGGGTCACCGTGGTACTGCAGACATAAACTCTGCAAAGTAGAATCTAGTGGAACTGAACACAGTTGTTCATGTCCTTAAAAGGCATCCTACTTCAAACACTGAGCAGCTGCTCTGATTTCTCCCAGCACACTGTTCATCTTCTTTAAATGAGGGGCTGAACTGTGCACTGAACTATTCTCTAAACCTGCTCTCTTTAAAACTCTGGACATATTGTACATTGTCCATATTTATACATCTCTGGAGTTGTAAGTACTTGTAATTATTTCCATCTCCTGTTTTTCAGATATTATTCCCACCGTTGTTACGGCTTATTTGTAAAGAAGACAATAGTTAGTCATCCTGGTCCTCCAGTCTCTTCCAGTGATGGCTGCAGTTAGCAGACCCAGGTTCCTTTACAACAGGCTGAAGAAGGATTTCAAGCAGAGACAGTCTCTTTGCTCCCAGAGCCTCCTCAGTTCCCCAAACTTCTCCAGGTAAGGAAAGCCAACAGATACGATCCCATCCTGCCATCACTCTTGGGTGATTATTTGCAATTAACGGAATACTTCATGTTTATATTAAAAACCCCAGACATTTCGCTTTGCATTAGACTACTGCCAAAGACCAAACATCTAGAGGCTAAGCAGAAGACTTCTATATTTAGGTTGCACACATTGAAAACTTGCAAAATCCTCTGCCGATGCTAAACAGCTCTTGGTAGAGGCAGTATGATGGTTAAGAGTAACACCTCAGTTGTGTGTGTGTGAGTCTGTGTGTGTGTTTGGGGGGGTGTCAAAAAAGAAACTCTTGTTATCAATGGAGGGCAAGCTGTGAGATAATGAGTAATAGTAATAAAAAGGTAATAATTGGCATAATGACTATCCCACATCTTCAGGCGGGGAACTCAATCCTCCATTATGACCAAACTATCACCTGGCAGAGCAGATTTTATTTCAGACTACCTCTAGATTTTAGGTCTGCAGATCATGGGACAATACGGGGTGATCATCACAGCCACAGCTACTGTTGTGGATGTGTAGGATTCTCCCATTCACTTCTAGCTCCTGATGGTTTAATGAAAAGAACATTATAGTGCCAGCATGTCTAAACTCTTCAAACTTCAATCATCAAATTCAATAATGGCTACAAACAAGAGTCAATTGCAGAATAAGTTGTTTGGCATTGGCATAGAGGATTTTAAAAATGTTGGCAATTGTGATTTCCTTCAAAATAAAGCCCCAATTTAAGAGGAAATAAACACCTTTTTTCAACAGAATGTCAATTATTGCAGAGAAGCATCATAACAAAGAAATAATTAGCCAAACACTATTTTTCTTATTTATTTATCTTGAAAATAAATGTATGGTTTACTGTGGCTATTCCACAGTGCAGTGGTAAGCAGCATTTTCCAGTTGGGATTTCGACTTCAGCAGGCATCCCTGTTATTTTTAACTAGTGAAATGTACTTTGTGAGTACAGAGAGGACACCCTGGGACACCACTGACTGGGTTTATGGAGGCAATCTCAGCTCTGCACCCCAACATCTGAGACAAATACACAACATTTAAATTGACTTGTTAGATCCTGCTCTCTGGACAGCCTCTGAGCGTTTATACAAAAAAAATAAAAATAAAAATCAGAGCTGCAACTCTGACAGCTCTTCACTGCAGGTGAGTTTCATTTGAATGAGTGGCAAATTCTGTGGCTTGCTGCAGAAGCAACACAGTAAAGATGCATGTTCACCCCTGTTCATTCCAAGCCGACCATTGTTTTCCAATCATCTTAAATGTAAAATAGTCTACATATATGAAACAAAAACTCTATAAATTGACCTGTAATCACAGACCTTTTTTTAAAAATGTATATTTATTTATAATACAGATAAAAAAAGAGAAAGGACGATCACTGAAGCTCAAGGGCAGCGTTACGTAGCATACTAGCTTTCACAGCTTTTGCAAACATGCAAAACTTTAAAGATTTTAGGGAAATTTTGTGTGTATACGAAATTCAGAAAGGATGATGAAAAGGCAAATAACATTTCTTCTTTTGTATGGGATTAAAGCAGCCAAATAAAAGACATTTAGGTTTTAATCCTACTTTATAATCCAATATTATATTAAGATAGAGGTTAACACCACCTAGAAGATTTTACTATGAGACCATTCCCCCCAAAAAAGATGACATATAGATTAATTTTCTTGATGACAAACTGAGCGGATGAGCTCCACAATATGAGGAAATTTTGCCACAAATACATAGACCGGATGGCATCTGAGGAGGATTTTTAGAGATACTTGTCACATTAAATATATATATATATACATATAAAAAAGCTTGGGTAATCCAGTGTATTTCTGGATAATTATAAAAAAAACAGATGAAGGTTTAATGTTTATATCCCTCTGAATTAGCTCTTTTAAGCATTTATTGATAACCAAAGATCTGAGCTACAAATTTTCCTTCCTGCTGACGTCAGTGATTTGCATTTTATCTGTCATGAGTTAACTCCTCCCTCTGTCTGTTAAACTGCCACCCATTGAACTTGAGTGGCTGGTTAAGATAATCTTTTTTTTTTTTTTTTTTTCTTTTTTTGCATTTAAAGAAATTGGAAAAGATAAACAAATGAGCTGCAGAGATCCTGTTACATTTGTTTTTGCTCGTGTGAGAACTTGGTATACAATCTGTAAATGTAACCATGAATAAATATGTTTAGGTATTATGCTGTAATTGTTCTGAATCAAACTTTGATTCAAACTTTTAAACAGGCTTTTTTTTTTATATAAGAATGGGACGTTTATGTCGGACCAAACAAGCCAGCAGCTGAAAACAAACCAGTAATTTGGCTTTCAAAGGGAGAGCATGGGTCACTGAAGGTGTTTGGTCTATTTCTTTTACAGCAGATTAATGAGGTGTTTTGGAAAACAGCCAATAACGCCCTTATCTTCAGAGCCGCTCTCCTTATCTCTCTGGATGTCCGAGTCTTTGACATATATGGCTGCAGCCGTCAAACCACCGCTTGACGCTTCTTTCCCAAAATAATCCTGGAGCAGCTGCGCCCTGCGCGGCGCGGCGCTCCTCAGCCGCGGCTTTGTCCGTCGCCGCACCAACAAATCCGGCGCAAAAAAAATGACCAAATTCAACTATTCCGACTATTTATCTCAGTTCCGTAATGCGGGGCGTAAATGTGGAGATGATCTGTCGCGACTGGGGGAAGATACCAGGAGAGGAGGATCACCAGAGCCTCCAGAGTGAGTCTTTGCGATGCGTTCAAAGCGTTTCGGCTGTGTTTATTATGCGCAATACTGCAACCTATTGTGTACAAGAAGGAGGATTATTACAGCTGCTCAAATCATCTCATAAAATCAATCAAAAAATAAAAGTGAGCTGTTTAAATATCCATCTAATTATAATGTAATGCCTTTTGTCATCCTTTCCAGGGATGCTGACCCTGTGGTTTCTGCCATCAGGAGTGGAGATGTGGAAACACTCAATGATCTGGCAGCATCTTCCTCCAGCAGCCTGCTGAAAGAAAACAAAGACGGATGGCTACCTTTGCACGCTGCTGCCTATTCTGGGCAGACTGAATGTCTGAAGACCCTGTTGAAAGGTATAGTCAATTCTATTTCAGCCCTTTCCCCCTCACCCAGGGGTGGATTTAGGAAATTTGGGGGCCCTAGGCAAAAACAGGCATGGGGCCCTCTGAATTGAAAAGACAACACATAAAACTGACCCATTATACAGATGCAGACATTTTAATAGAATAGACATACATTATTTTTTCCATCTTTTTTATCTCTCTTGCTATCCCTTTTCTTGTTGTTTTCCTTTCTATGTTTTCTTTTTCATATTTACAATGTGTTCAGTTGACTTTTCTTGCCGTCTCAAAAGGAACACGCTTTTGGCATTTACTTAATCACACTTTAACAGAATTGTTATATGTCCTACCCTGCTAACATGAAACAATTGTGTTAAAGTAACTAAATATGATTAAGTAAATGCCAAAAAATGGTTGCATTATTTTTTGAACGAAAGATTTTTCCAATCATTAAGCCCATTCACACTTAGCTGATTGCTCCTTCCTGTGATTCCAAAAACACAGGAAAAAGTAAATAACACAGTCCTTCATTTCACTGTAGACAAGCCATGATCTGCTTATCTGTTCTCCATTTTTCAGTTGAATGAAATGATAGCTGCATGAATCATGACAGCAGACAAGAGAGCAGGAGGTGGGGTTAAGAATCTACTTGCTCTGGAGAGCAGATTTTGTTGCTTTTATATGTTGTCGCCAAAGTCTCCCGTAACCGAAAATGGTTGCTAGATTTGGTGTTAGATTTGAAATAAAAGTGCAAGAGGGGTTTGAAAAGATACTACATATCGTGAAAAAAGCACTATTTGGCAACACTGCTCTTTGCACCCTTTGTTTTGGAAAGGTTTGCTGCTATCTGTTTGGACCTTTTTTCACATGCGCAGCAAATGGACTCATTCAATGTAGTGGACACAGAAGTGGGGGGAGAGACATACTATCATAAACATTTTGATGGCATTTTAACTAAAGGATTTCTATCAAAAACATGATTAATATGCAGAATTAAGTAATAGCTGTGTTAACCATATATGTAAAAGGAGTTATTTGGGGCCCCCAGGAACTTGGGGCTTTAGGCAACTATCTAGTTTTGCCTAATGGTAAATCTGCCCCTGCCCTCACCCTTAACACTCAAAACTACAGTTATAAGTAGGAGGTCCTAATTGTTGTTATGGAGTAAAAGCAGAGCTGAATGAAATACTTTTAAATGTGTTAGCTTGGCTTTTAAATCTCTTGACTAGTATAAATGGTTTTCAACCTTGCAACATGGTACAATATATACTTAACTGTTAAAAATTATTATATGTAGTATACTTTTTTTAATCAAAATTATGTTATATTAACATTTCAGTGTTTTTTATTAATGTCGAATGTAGATGAGTAGCCCTCATAAGCAGATGTTAAGGATTCACACTGACATATAATACAATAGGCCTTCTGTGGCAATCTGTGAATCAATAAAATTTATTTAGCCAGTTTTTAGTATGCATTTATTATGCAATATATACCTTTGCATTTGATTACAGAAAACAGGAGTGTGCATTATCTGCAATTATTATTGTTATCCTTGATAGAATGATCTAATGTTCCATAATAGGCCGCACACAGAGCAGGTTTACAGATGTCCTCAGGGAATAGAGGTGGCAGAGGGAGCAGGGTGTCATGTTAACATAATATCCAGGAGAAATTTAGAATATAACTAAGAAAATTGGCTATATGACAACTAAATGATACCATTAAACCATACAGTTTAAACCTTGATATTTTTATACAAATGTGTTCATATTTTTGAATCATTCGACTTTTCACCTCATCCTCCTTTACACATAAACACACAGCTGTAAAAAGCTTAGCACAGACTAAAAATAGGCTTTGAGACACTAAAACCTTATTTTTAATGTCAAGCAGTGAGAGAAAATTGACTGTTTATAAAGTTATGTGAAAAGAAAGATATAGCCCTACATCTACATGAATGTATTTGTATTTGGGATTACATTAAAGGCTTAAAGATTGTTTATAGGATCGATGTGCTTTCTTGTCGTAGTTCATCCGGGTTCAGTGGACAAGCGGACCCTGCAGGAGCAGACAGCTCTGCTGCTGGCTGTGTCGTATCAACAGTTGTCCTGCGTGCTTTGCCTTCTGGAGTCAGGCGCTGACCGCGACATCTGCAACAGTAACAAAGAAACCCCTTTGTATAAAGGTACAGCTGTGAAATCAGAGATGTTAAGGGGTGCCATGAGGCATGGCCGTGAGTGAAATGATGACTTCTCTGTCCCCACAGCTTGTGAACTGGAAAATGTGGACATGGTAAACCTTATTCTGTTGTACAACGCCACGGTGAACCAGCGGTGCGGCCAGGGCTGGACGGCCCTTCATGAGGCTGTTTCCAGGGACAACACAGAGATCTGCGAGTTACTAATCCGAGCAGGAGCCATGATCAATCCAGCAAACACCTACAGCGTCACACCGCTTATTGTAGCAGCTCAGCGAGGACTGATGAAGGCGCTGTGTTACCTCATTGAGAAAGGTAGTTTTCGGTAGAACTCATTCCCACTTGGGTGCCTCTGATTTCATCCTAGGTCAAATAAAGTGATGTTCTTTCTCAGGTGCAGACGTGAACATGCAGACATGTGAAGGTGTTACAGCTCTGCATGAAGCCAGCAAGAATGGACACCAGGATATTGTTGCTTTTCTTCTCACTAAAAACGCAGATGCAAACAAACCTGATAACTCCGGACTGCTGCCTCTGCATTTTGCTGCACAGTATGGACACCATCAGTGAGTTAGCATGCCTTTTGTTTAAAACCACTATTTTGAAGGTATTGTGAGCTTGCTTACAAAATGATTCTAATTCAGTCATAATCAACATGACATCCAGTCCAGCGGGGGAGGAATGCAGAGTCTTTCTTCCCTTTGAATGACAGTGACATGTTTTCTTTAGGCTCTACATAAACTGATTGTGCTCAATATATAATCAAGTGGAAACGTTTTTGTAATTATTTTTGGCATGTTCTAGATCTAATGCCATTTGGGTTTTTTTTTTTTTGTGATTTTTTTCACATTTCTGTTGTAATGTCTTCATTTAGTTCTACCCCTTTCATCATTTTTTTTTTTTTTTGCTTTTACACATATTTTCTTTCTTTCTTTTACCTTTATTCTCTGTTTTTATGATTTTTGGTTAATTATTTTTTAAGGTTTGCCCTTAATACTTTTATTTTCTGTGTTCTTCATTTCTTTTTTCATTTTTGTACTTCATTTCCATTATTCTCTATTTCTATGTTTTGTTTTTTCATCTTTATTATTTGCTATTTCTCTTTTCTTCTTGTTTTGTCCTTTCTTTTTTCATTTCCTTTTTTCTTTTCTTATTTAAGCTAAATGATTCATATTGGACATTTACTTGAATTCCTACACTGACTAAATGAGTTAAAAGCTGATTAATGTAATTGAAACAAAACACTTCAAGAAGGAAAAATAGGTTAATTTGCTCATTTATGTCACAAATAACTAATTAATTAGTAAAATGATTAAACACAATCAAGGATTACCTACTCCAATACATTTTATTTGGGAGAACTTTAAATTAGAATTGAGGCTATCTTTAGGGGATTTACTTAGATTTTCCGTACTTTTTTTTGTTTTGCCTCTGAAGTGTAGACACAAAGCTTTGGTGCACTATTTGGATATTGAAATGTCTAGTTTAAGTTAAAAGGAATCTTTTTTTTGTTGCTTTTATTGTCATTACACTGTCGCAATTAGAAACAACAAAGTACAGCAACATAATTCACTCTCTGAATTTAACCCATCCCCTTAGGGAGCAGTGGGCTGCCATTGTGTGGCTCCCAGTGAGCAGTGTGGGGTTAAGGGTCTTGCTCAGGGACCCAAAGTGGCAGCCTGTGGGGATCAAACTGGATACTAGCAACCATCTCAGAGCACAAGCGCACTGCTCCAGCCCAATAGGCCTACACTCCCCCATCTGGTAACCAATGGGGGAGTGTCTTGATAAGCTTGTCATAGTTAAATTCAAGTGAAACAAAAGAAATGTTTGTTAAAACTTGAAAGAAAATTGCCAATAAGCACAATACAAAAAAATATGTAACGTGAAATAAAACAAATATGGCTTCATATTGTAACCATGAGCATCAACCTTCATAAAACTTGTTCTGGGACTTCTTAAGCCAGACTCAGTACTACTCATGGTCCAAGCCACAAGAAATGAAGTAAAGCATGTCATGTTGGATTAGAAATTTGTTAGAAAAAGTAAATCCAACAAATGTTTTAAGCCTTTCTGCTTATGCTTCAGAGGAATCACCAGTCTAGTAAAGGTATACAAATAATAACAGTGTACAAAGGGTCTAGAGAAATAATAAAAATCAACATAAATGCCCTCAGTTTAACACATTTACTGAAAAGTTTACTGACCTCTAAACTAGCAGGACAAGATATTTGGTTTCAAAAAATACTTTAATATTTATTTAAAGGTGTCCACATGAGCATTTTATCACATTAGTCTAAATCTGTCATGTTCAGGAAACAAATCTGTGGAATCTCTCTCTCTCTCTCTCTCTGTCTCTGTCTCTGTCTCTCTCTATATATATATGTATATATATATATATATAATATATATATATATTATATATATATATATATATATATATATATATATATATATATATATATATATATATATATATATATATATATATATATATATATATATATATATATATATATATATATATATATATATATATATATATATATATATATATATATATATATATATATATGTGCGGGGCTCCCTTTTCACTGTCATACATCTGCTCCCTTTGTTTCCAGGATCGTTTCCATGCTGGTGTCAGTCACCGGCCGAGCCAAGCTCCGGCACAGCTGGATCAGCCCCCTTCACCTGGCAGCACAGCACGACAGGCACTCTGCAGCCACTGTGCTGCTGAAAGCAGGTGCAGACGTGAACGCCACTCTGGCATGCAGTCACTCCCTCCAGTACGCTGACAGACGCGCCACAGCTCTCTACTTTGCTGTTGCCAATGGCAGCAGGAGGACAGCAGAGGTGTTGCTGAACGCCGGTGCAAGCCTAAGCCTGGACCCAGTCAGTCCCCTACTGATGGCGGCACGTCACGGCTGTGTCAGCACCGTTTCCTTGCTTCTGGAGCGAGGGGCTGATCTGAACGCCAGACTCCCATCATTTGCTACTACATTCCCAGCTGTTATTGCACTTTGTAGGAATAATCTACCTCTACTGAAGTGCCTTTTAAACCATGGCTGTGATGCCTTCTCCTGTTTCACCTGCACATACGGCGCTGCCTCACACCCTTCTTCAAGAGGATCAAACATAAGAACTGCTGGCAACCATAGATATGATTGCATATTGCCTTTAAACTGTGATGAAAGAACAGAAAGGACAATTCAGGTGGGCAAAGCAAGCGTCACTGTTCATTTCACACTCTTATAATGTAACTCCCTATTGAAGTAATGCAGGTCTTTTTTATTTATTTATTTTTTTCAGTTCTGTGAGTGGATCTCAACACCTTTAATGCGTAAATGGGCAGGACCCATCATAGACATGCTACTGGACCATGTTGGTCATGTTCAGCTGTGCAGCAGGATCACTGAGCTCCTGGACAGCAGAGAAGAATGGCACGCCATCAAGAGGAAGTCATGTAGGTGATGAAAATCGTTACAATGATGAGGAAATGCTCAGCTTTCATTTCCTCACAAAGAAAACTGTTTGTTTAAAACTAAAGTTCATATATTTAATTTTGTCTTCCAGTGTCGCCTCGTCCACTGCAGCACCTTTGCAGATTAAGGATTTGGACTCAGATTGGGAGAGACAGAAGGAGATCTATTACAAGTTTACATCTGCCAAGCAGACTGAAAACATATCTGAGTCATGATGACTGAGTAGATAAACTCAGCTTTTTGTGTCTGTGTGCATGACTATATTTATCATCCTGTTTCTTTTTTTAGTTATATTTCCTATCTAAAATCTGTAACAGCCCTCTAGTGTATAAATATCTATTTATAATTTAATTGATGTGACAGCAAGGCTCTTTAATCAGTTTGTTATTTTTAAGAACCCTTCAGGGATGGCTAGAAAAAGTGTCAATGGGAATTCTTTAGGGAATTTAAGTCTTTTATTTAAAAATAAATCATTACAAACATTACCTGACAAATACATTTATGTTTTAAATGAAAGACTGCAACAGCCCAGGAGTAATGCACTGCAAAAATGATCTAGAAATAAGTAAAAATGTCTTAAATTAAGTGTATTCACCCTTAATTTGAGTAGGTAAAGGTGATAGTTTGCCAATTGAATGAGTAATTTTACTCTTAAAATAAGATAATTATTAATATGTACTTGAAATTAGAAAATGCAATTGTGTTTTCTTATTTTAAGTGTAAGTTGTATTGTTCCATTGGCAAAAAGGCTCTTTTACCTCCTCAATTCAAGAACAAATAAACTTAGTTTAAGAAAAAAAAAGACTTATCTAGATTTAGATTTTTTTGCTGTGTAAGAAATGCTCCTGAACAAGGAGAAAATAAAAGTGAAGCTGATTCATTTATTGGAAAAGTGCAATTTATTCCTTTAGGCTTAAACATCACAAATAGACGTAGTATTCTAGTAAGTGCTTAAAGAAGTGTCTGGTTTCCAAAATCCAAGAGGAAAAAAAAAGCATAAACAGAGCAAATTGTCACAGTTTCACCTTCTCTGGTGGACAGATTAAATGAATCCAAAAACGCTGAAGATTGGAGAATGAGCTGTGGGCTTGGTCGGTATGGGTTTGACCACAACGTGCCTGTGAAGTTTCTGTCCATAAGGATGCTCGGATCTCTCCAGCTCTGGTCCTACTGGCTTGCTCCACAGGCCCATGGGAGGATGGGGCACAACGAGTTGACTGTGGAGGACCTGGTTTTCATGGAACTGGAAGGGCCAGCAGCCGCAGAAACACACAGAGTGATGGGAAGTCAGGTCCAGTTTAAGGACCTCTTTATCAGCAGAGCCGCGCTTGGACGAGGAGATGGTGGTCTTTGGAGTCTTTGGAGCGTCATCCTGACTCCTTTTCCTCTTTTCGTCCTCGCTGCCATCACTTCCCGTGCTGCTTTCTCTTAAATCCATACATGATATGTCTCTCTTAGCTTTGATTAGCCTGGGTTCCTCCCAAAATGAAGCTGGCAGTTGTCGTTTCCTCATTGGCACCTGCTCCATCACGCCTCCGACGCTCTGTTGCGCATCGGAGCTGGATTTATCTATCACCTTTCCCATCTGACGTTCGGCTCCTGCACCTCTGGTGCACCTGTAGTCCGCAGATCTCAGCGTTTGGCATCTCGGTACCCTGGAGAACTTTTGTGAAAAGCGCTTGAGCTGTTTCTGTAGGTATTTCCGGTGATCCACGGAGCGCCTGCAAGGAGCCGACTTATCCAGGGCCGCCTTGATGTCGCTTGATGCCAAATTTACAAAGTTGAGCAACGTTTTAACTTCACTGTCAGCACTTGACATGTTTACCAGAGTCTATTTGGTTCACTTCATTCGTTCATGTTAAAAACGAGAAGCGTAATCCTCCGCCACAATCTGGAATGTAGAATTAACCAGATTAGACTCCGCGTAATTGCGCACAGCCAAAATTTCACCAATTATTGATAACCCAGCTTATGCTCACCGCTCTTAGATTCCCTCAGAGACCTTCTTTGTTGAATTCTTCCTCCAGACTCAGCGGTACTTCAACAAGTTGAATGAATATAAACTCCTTGTAGTTATGCTCTTTTCCTTGAACCAATCAGCGACCCCAGACGGCTCACAATGCACTCCAATCAGTCTCCAAGCGCCTTGGTATCAAATTCTTCACCAGTGCAAATTGCTACCATGGTGACCTGAAAAGCCCAGCCCGGGTAACGCGATATTTGTCCAAAACTGCGCTTGGATGCAATAGTTCCCCATACAGCTCTTTGTAAACAAATAAATGATTTATTAAAAATCAACTCCAAATTATTAGAAATACTGTAACTTCCCGTTGCATTGGTTAAAGTTGAATTTTGAAGCCGTCCACATGATGTCAGCTGTAGGATTTGGTGTGGGGGGATCTAAAGAGCGCATAACCATGGAAAGGGGCTTGAGCGCTCAAGAATCTTGTCTTTCTGTTTGCACCCTCAATCGAGCGACACAAAGGCTGAATTACTCATTCAAACCTGGCGGGACAAAGGGGAAGGAGCTGGATAGCACTCCTGCATTTGTAGTCAAACATTTAGAGACTTAAATCGAGTCGTCATGAAGGAGAAAGAGTCGGACAAAGCCCATAGAATTGCCATCAGCAAACATTTTCCTGGGTCATATTATGGGGTCTCCATGGCTCCCTCTGGCCGGAGGACAATGGCACAAGTTTGCACACTCGAATACTGTCACCCTGCCAACGGCAACAAGGGCCCAAAACAGGACAATCCCCAGAAAAGCATGGGCTCCACAGGGAAGGCTGCAGCGGAGGGGTGAAATGGGACTTGTGAAATGCTAATTGAGCTTCATCCCTTTATTGAGCCGGGGAAGTATCGTTCTGCTGAAGCACAGAAGCTCTGAAATGAAAGGTGATGCATTAACAGCCATTAAAAAAAATAAGACAAGTGATTAAATACTTAGTTCTTAAAAAATCTCATATATCAATATTTGATCTGGTTTATGTTTGTAAAGAAAGAGATCTGTGGTGAATAAACATAAAATTTAACCTTGATTGATTCATTAAACAAAATAAATCAGCCAGTAGGAAACTTTTTCTCAGAAAAGGATTGCCTCCATAATAAGATGACCAGAACCTGGCATTGCTCTTTTCTTAGTCCAGAACATCCATTTTTTTTCCTCTGTGCCCTTGTTAGGGTTATTATCTAACTGTTTTGGGGTCAATCTCATGTTTAAGGGCCCAGTTATTCTTCAGTTGTCATTTCTTCCAAATATTTCTACATTTTTCTCCGCCATCTTCTGATCCACAGTAGAATTTCAGGAGGTTGTTCAGGTTCTGCTGCAGCAAGTCATCCCCAAACCATGACAATTCCACCTCTGTACTCTAGAGTTAAAATAGGGTCAGCTTCCGGAAGTTTTTTTTAAATGCTATTTTGACTAATCTATAAAAATAATACATTCCAAATGATATTCATCTAAGTCCTCGTTGACAAACTTTATTCTGGTCATCAGTTTATTGTTTTTTTTTACAAGAGCAAAAATGTCTTCATTGCAAAGTTCTCATTTCACAAAAAAACTTTTACAGTCTCTTTTGGACTGTATGGGCCCTGCACTTTTATATCAACAGTAGGATTCATGATGACACTAAAAAATATTTATTTTGCATCTGAACTAGCTTGTTGTGGGTCCTGAGCTTGTTTGCAATTCTAAATCTGCCAAAAGTAAGGATAAAATACTAGAGTCTTCAATGTGATTGCCAGAGACTGCTCCTTGAATCTAAGCATCGTGTTAATTTTAATGTCGTTAGGAGTATATGAAATTAAATGTCTTAGTCTTAAATGAGGCAAACCTTCATCAGATTCCTGAGTGACAATGTCCTAATTATTTTAATTTGATGTGAATGTGTGGAAACTCTTAAAATATAAGTAAATGTAAAGTTTCTAAACCTTTTTTTTTGTATTTTAATCTAAATATTGTCCAAATATGGAAATCTTCACTAGCCTTATGTTACCATAGAAGAGATATCTTAAATGTCTTCAACATATGTCAGGATTAAAAGTCATCAATTTTGAGCAGTCCTGAGGACTGACTTCTTCCCTAATAGTGAAAGTGCTAGTGTGGAGATTTTTATTGTGGTTTGCACCAGGCGGTGCTTCCCTTTGGTTTTTTTGGGGTTGTAGGGTCCTATTGTCCCCCTCCGTTCTTCCTCGTCTCACCTCTGTGTTTAACTGAATAGGCTGGTTAACAATAGCCCCCCCCAACAGGCCTGTCACCCACTCTTGTGCTTTTCAAGAGAATAAAGAATGAGAAAAAGCATATTTAGAAGCATCCATGAATGGAAGAACTGTGGATAAAGTAGCCAGGGTTTATTTTAGGCACTTCTAGGTTTTTGCTCATGAGTTTCTATAGTTTTTTGTACGTATTATTTCTGCCCGCAATAACTAATGTATGAGAAAAAAAAAGTCTGTTGAACTGCTACATTTAAGCACATTTAAACCCATCGAAATCTACAGAGAAAGCTGCACCCAAAACGGTCTTACAGACTTCCATAGATTTCATAGGATTTTTTCCATTTTACTACACAGTACTCAAAACATTAATGCTCATATAAGTAAAAATGTAAACATTGAAGAAAAAATAGAAACAGATTTGGAAAATTAAAGTGATAGTTGGTAATTAAAATGCCTTTTTTTTTTACCGAGATGGCAGACAGTAATTTGAGAATAATGCAGCCTGATTTTTCTCTTAGCTCCTTATTGCAGGCTAATGCTATGAGATATTTAAAGCACAGTCTCAGCACATGATGTTGCTTTGTTTAGACATCTTGTGCAACTGTCAAAAGACTAAATATAGAGTAGTAGGCTAAAGTTTTAACCCTTTAAACCTTAATTCTTAACACTTTCCTTTCAAGCTGTTTTTTTTAGCATGCTTTTCTGATTCTGGTGAGAGCAGGTCAAATGAAATAGATGGGTCTATGAGAGTAGAAATAAATAAACATAAGTCTTTTTGATACTGTGCTGAAGTTGGATAAGATAAACTTCTCAATTATGTTACAGTTATGCAAAGTTTAAAACCACAATTGAAAGAGAACACTTGGGCTTGGAGAAGATATGTTGCCAAATTGTTGTGTTTCCAGATTATAGACTAGGGAGCGTTTGCAGTAATACCGGTATACAAAAATTGCATACTTCATCTAATATCCATCCATCCATCCATCTTCCTCCGCTTATCCGGGGTCGGGTCGCGGGGGCAGCAGCTTAAGAAGGGAGGCCCAGACTTCCCTCTCCCCAGCCAATTCTTCCAGCTCTTCAGGAGGAACCCCAAGGCGTTCCCAGGCCAGCCGAGAAACATAGTCTCTCCAGCGTGTCCTGGGTCTTCCCCGGGGCCTCCCCCCGGTGGGACGTGCCCGGAACACCTCACCAGGGAGGCGTCCAGGAGGCATCCTAAACAGATGCCCAAGCCACCTCAACTGGCTCCTCTCGACGTGGAGGAGCAGCGGCTCTACTCCGAGTCCCTCCCGGATGACCGAGCTTCTCACCCTATCTCTAAGGGAGAGCCCAGCCACCCTATGGAGGAAACCCATTTCGGCCGCTTGTATCCACGATCTCGTTCTTTCGGTCATCTAATATCAGTTTAGCAATACTGATAAATCCAGGTAACCAATTCACAGTACCAGTTGTTTAAATATACACTATATTGCCAAAAGTATTTGCTCACCCATCCAAATTATTGGAATCAGGTGTTCCAATCACTTCCATGGCCACAGGTGTATAAATTCAAGCACCTAGGCATGCAGACTGTTTTTACAAACATTTGTGAAAGAATGGGTCGCTCTCAGGAGCTCAGTGAATTCCAGCGTGGAACTGTGATAGGATGCCACCTGTGCAACAAATCCAGTCGTGAAATTTCCTCGCTCCTAAATATTCCACAGTCAACTGTCAGCTGTATTATAAGAAAATGGAAGTGTTTGGGAACGACAGCAACTCAGCCACGAAGTGGTAGGCCACGTAAACTGACGGAGCGGGGTCAGCGGATGCTGATGCGCATAGTGCGAAGAGGTCGCCAACTTTCTGCAGAGTCAATCACTACAGACCTCCAAACTTCATGTGGCCTTCAGATTAGCTCAAGAACAGTGCGCAGAGAGCTTCATGGAATGGGTTTCCATGGTCGAGCAGCTGCATCCAAGCCATACATCACCAAGTGCAATGCAAAGCGTCGGATGCGGTGGTGTAAAGCACGCCGCCACTGGACTCTAGAGCAGTGGAGACGCGTTCTCTGGAGTGACGAATCGCGCTTCTCCATCTGGCAATCTGATGGACGGGTCTGGGTTTGGCGGTTGCCAGGAGAACGGTACTTGTCTGACTGCATTGTGCCAAGTGTAAAGTTTGGTGGAGGGGGGATTATGGTGTGGGGTTGTTTTTCAGGAGCTGGGCTTGGCCCCTTAGTTCCAGTGAAAGGAACTCTGAATGCTTCAGCATACCAAGACATTTTGGACAATTCCATGCTCCCAACTTTGTGGGAACAGTTTGGAGCTGGCCCCTTCCTCTTCCAACATGACTGTGCACCAGTGCACAAAGCAAGGTCCATAAAGACATGGATGACAGAGTCTGGTGTGGATGAACTTGACTGGCCTGCACAGAGTCCTGACCTCAACCCGATAGAACACCTTTGGGATGAATTAGAGCGGAGACTGAGAGCCAGGCCTTCTCGTCCAACATCAGTGTGCGACCTCACAAATGCGCTTCTGGAAGAATGGTCAAAAATTCCCATAAACACACTCCTAAACCTTGTGGACAGCCTTCCCAGAAGAGTTGAAGCTGTTCTAGCTGCAAAGGGTGGACCGACGTCATATTGAACCCTATGGATTAGGAACGGGATGTCACTTAAGCTCATATGTGAGTCAAGGCAGGTGAGCAAATACTTTTGGCAATATAGTGTACATTTGCAATAACATACTTTAAATATAATATGCAATTACCTTCCACTGCACTTTAATTGTGATAGCTTCTGCAAAACTTTATTTATTTTATAGTAAAAAAGTAATGCACAATACTTTCCATTAAAATCCGGTGGGGCATTAGGAGCATGGGTAAATTGTGGGTCCATGTGCTACAAATGGAGTTAAAAAGAAACATTACAAAAATATTACCAGTAAATCCACATCAAAAAAATGATATGATAATGTCCAAGGAAAACTGACAACAGCAGAATATTGACATCTGAAATGTGCTTTAAGGGGAAGAACTTCCTCAAATATCTCCCCTCAGAAAGTAAGAAGTGTAGCAAACTTTCTTTAGATTGATGTTGGACATAGTTCATAACTACAAGAAGCGTATCACTCAACTATTAACAACTAAACGTAGTAGGACCAGCATAAGCTGTTCAAACCTTTTTCTGAAATAGTAAACACGTTTGTTTATATTTATTATCTAGGTTTTAAAAAAAGTTGTTTTTGTTCTTCTTTTTATGTGTCATTAAGTTATACATTTTCCATAGAAAAGTTAGACATTGGCATGTGAACTAAGAATTTTATGACCTGCTCCAGCTTTTTCCATGTGATCTTAGATATTAGAAGTGGCACCAATACTCAGCCTTGGGGAACACCAGCAAAGACAGAAAAGGAATTTGAAAAATGAGTTGGATCAACTGAAAACACATGACAAAAAGCAAATGAGGGGAGTGTCGCTGATTGTGATGGAATGGATCTGTTCTGAAGAGTATGTAGAGAAACTGTGTCAAAAGCAGGCACTCATATGAAGGACCATAATGATGATAATCTCAAGGTAGATAGAAAAGACAGGGAGCATCAGTTGGCAAAGACTTTCTCTAATTGGGAAAAGATGGAAATTAGATCTTATACAACCTTGAAAATCTCACCACCTTTAGAATCTATTTTTTTTATTTCACTTATTTTTTACCTGCCCTTTAGCTGATCATTAGAAGATGTAGTGCTAACTGTCAAAATATTCTATTCAATTTAATTCAAAAATCCTTAAAGTTATAGTGGAGGATGTTATTTTATCTAGGTGGATCATCTAAATTAGTGGTCTTCCTAATTGTCAATCATTCTGGTGATATGTTTACATAAGGCCGTCCTACGTGCTCGTCCCCATTTTCCCTTATTGGTGGTGAGTCTGACATAGTGGAAAAAATGTCTATCTTTTTTGGAAACTAAGCCTGTATAAGCGATGCAAGCAGCAACTTTTAAACAGAGCGAGCAAGAGGAGACTCAATGGGCTTGTGAAAGTTCTCATACGCATTTAATACGCGTTTCCTCTTGGGAAACTTTTCACTGGGTTGTGCTTGTGTATTTTTTTAAAAAGTGGAGAGGGCAGGTCAAAAAAAATTGTGAAAATCCTCCACTATACCTTTAATTAATCCCAAAGGAAATGTTTATTTTGCAGTAAATTATCATTTTTAACAGGTTCTTACAGGTGTTTCTAGCTCTAGCGTGGATGCATCTTCTGTGCCAGTCTGTCTTGCACCACCAGATCTGGAGAGCGTCTGATAAAAGACACTCTCTTGCTGTTTAGAAGTGAAATGAAGAGGATGTTCACTGCTGTGAGAACAGGTATAAAACTAGGGATGTAGAACTAAACATGTGTCAACCTATCGTTTATAAAATAAGGAAAGATTATTTGAAACCCAAATAAAAGATGAACTCATACAGAGCTTGTCCTTCAGTTTATACCAGGTTTCCATTTGGTAACCATGTTGGTGCCAAAATGATATTTTAAATCAAAATGACGTTCTCTTTATTATTTGATAGATTTACTGTAAGAAACTGAAAACATCTTTGTCTTTGGACATGAACCATGCAAAAACAAAAAAACAAAAATCAAAGAACAAGATCTTGAGAAAGTGTTAAGATACGCTGCAAGTAAACCAGTCTCGTTGGGGGCAAACCATAAAGAAATAAGGCTTAAATCAAAACATTTGCAAGGTGTTGCATGGAAAAAGTAAAGAAAAAAATAGTCTGTCTTCCTAAATTGCCCTTGGGACAGGGAAGGTGACCATTCTCTCTCTTTAACAGCTTCTGCTTGAGGTGTCAATGGTTTCATACTTTCCACTAGATGGCAGTGTACTTCTTCTGTTCTAAAGTTCATTGTACATGTGCAAACAGATCCCATAATGTTCACACACACTGGCATAATAAAAGAGAAACACAGATAGAAAAGATAAAGGCAGCTGAGCTAATCTGAGCTGAACATTATTATTCTGTGGATGACTGAGGGATGTAAAATCTTTCATCTCATGCATTTGGTATCTTAAGCCTGTATTTGCTAAGAGATGCAGATTAACTATCTTGGCAAGAGAGGCAACAGGGAAAGACTACAGTAATTATATAAAGAGGCTTTCCTATCAGTTTATAGGGCCGTGATGTACGATGTGCCAGAATGTGTGTTGTTGGAATGAGGTGAGGTAGCAGGAAGGAAACAGGAGGATGTAGAGCTTTCCTCTTGTCACATAATCGATTCTCTGACTGACTGCTGAAGAGGATGGATGAGCTGGAGCTGCAGACTATATGCCAAGCTTGTTCTATATTTCAGAAACTCTGGAAAAGCTCTGCAAATGTAGCCTAACATGCAGTAGCTGAGGATTTTCCACTCTAAAAGTCATCCACAGCTCTTTGTATGAGCTCATCCCATTACTGTCTGTGAAGTGCTTTTTGATAGGCAAGACATGTGATGAATGCTCAGCCACAACAAAAGGCTGCAGGGCTGGTTGCTGAATTCACTGATCTTAATCCAAAGCAGTTTGGATCGTAGGCTCAGATGTTATTTAAATTATTTGGACCTGGACTCAGTTGGCTCCCATTTTAACTATATAAACCCCAGGAGAGGAGAGACGACATAGAACTGCAACTTATTATTAAAGATGAATAAAAGTCTTCATTTTTGTAGGGAAAATAAATAAAGCTTTCCTGCAGGGTAGAGATTTAAAAAAGAACATAATTAGAGGAAAAATCTAAACATATATATTCAAAGGTAAAACCTCTCCCTTATTTTAAAATGAGACACAAATATGAGCACTAAGGTTTTATCCTCATTGTCAATCAACCGTTTGAATGTCACGTTGGCTCCCTGGTACCATGTATGACTGCAGGCTAATTTCATAACCGTGCCCAGTGAAAACCACCAACAACATTATGCAACTCTGCTTTTAGAAATCCGACCATTGTTGCTTCATATCTTCCACTCTGCCCCACGGCACCACCTCATATTAACTATAGCCAAAACCACAGATTTACACAGAGGAAAATAAAAAATGTGAACAACATATTATTTTCACTGTCAAATCTGAATCAATGTTTTCTCTTCTGGGTCATTTGATGAAAGCTGAAGTTATCATGATTTTTTATGTTTTTCAGATGTTTATATGCACTAAACTTACTTTTCTTTTTAATAATTTTATAAAGTCCAGATGATCACCATCAGCTGCATTGTTTAATTTAAATCATTGGAGTGAAAGAGGTATTTGTGAATGCGTAGCAGTGGAGCTCCACACATCTGGCTCATTCCTCGATATACTTTCTAGGAGTCTGTGTTATGTAAGAACCAACGCTATGGGAATGTCCATCGTTTCATCGTTCAGAATAATGAAAGAGGCCATTTACCAGTATTGGCTGAAAGCAAAGAAGAAGCCATAAAGCAACATAAAGAGCAAGATTTGCAGTTGCACTCAAGGATGGAGACCTCAATCTTTCCACCACTTGTCCTGTGCTCTCATGAACCCCATGTTCAGCTGTTTAACCTCAAGAACGTTAGTAAATTTGGAACCAAATAAAACGAAATGTATTGTCTTACATGCAGCAGGGAAATCAGGTGAGACAGAAGAAAGCTCATGCTACCCACTGTAAAACTAGATTATACATTAAAAAAAATTGGAGGAAAAAGGGGGAGCTTTCCACCCTAACTGTAAAGCACAGTGGTGGGAGCCTCATGTGCACAGCAAAAATGAAAATCTAAGTAAGTCATCTTTTCTTAAAATAAATGCATTTTTCTCCAATTGAGGATGAAAGTGAGACACTTTGCCAATGGAACAAGACAATTTACATTCATATGATCTAATTATCTTATTTTAAGAGTAAAGATACTAATTTAATTGGCAAATCATGCTATTTACCTACTCGAATTAAGGGCAAATACACTTAATTTAAGAAATGTTTACTTATTTCTGGATCGTTTTTGCAGTGTGCAGATGTTTTCCTGCAGGTAAACTTCACAAAATAGCACCAGAAGAAAAGAGCATTATGTGACAATGAAAACAAACCCAGGCCCAGTGTTAAAGTAACACTTTAAGAGTGCATTTGGTTTCACTCTAAATTAGTGCTAACTCTAATGAAAAGAAAAATGCAACTCTTTTTGGCATTTATTTACTACATATTTAGTTACTTTAACACAATTGTTTCATGTTAGCAGAGTACGACATAAAACAATTGTGTTAAAATAACTAAATATGATTAAGTAAATGCCAGAAGTGGTTGCATTATTTTCTAACTCCAGTTGTTTTAATAACTCTAAAAGAGTCAATTTACTTTGACACTGCATATTTAACACTTTGGAATTAAAAGCACCACCTCAAGACGTTTGATCTGAAATTAAATTTAGTTTAAAATACTTTCTAGGAAAAGGGATATCTGAAAAATAGTTTATAGTTTAGAGTGATTTATTGTCATATTTCAGTTTTATTAAAATTAATATGGATTCATTGCAAAATAAAAAATTATTGGTTGAAAAGGTGAGGAAGTTGTTAATGTTTTGGCAGTAAATGTCAGTTTGGATCAGGACTGTTTATCCTTTGGGACGCAAAACACGCATCATCATCTTTGTGGGCATCACTTTTTGCACTGGTTTGTATGGGGGAGAAAAACATAAACAAAGACAGGAAGGCTGAGCTGATGGCTTTTCAAACAAACACTTGAGCTGCTGGTTTGGAGGAGGAGGAGGAGGTGGTTTGTTTGGCTGTCAGGGGGAGCTGATGTGAGCGCGCGTATAAAGCAGCGCACACGGAGATGCGCCACTTTAACCCACGGCTCTGCCCTCCGGACTCGCCCATCCTGAATCCTTAGGTCGGGAAGTTGAGGTGATGCCGCTGCGGAGACTCCCTGCAAACGATCCTCCCGAGGACCCGTCTCTGTTTTCTTTTACTTCTCGTTTTTGACACCCCTCCTCCTGAACTTGGATGGCTTGCGCGCCTCGTCCTGCGCTCTTCCTCGCAACCGCGGAGAGATGTAAGCTTCTGGCCGTCCACCGCCCTCACACTGCGCGGAGCAGCGGCGTGATTCCGGTCCATATCTGAGATAGCTACAGGGAGAGAGAGAGAGAGAGAGGCAGAGAGAGAAGAGAGATAGGAGGCTTGAAAAAGAGGAAAAAAACTACTTTGGAGATGTGAATGATCGAGGTTTTGCTGCTCATCCCACCAGCTCGCCTGTCCTATGCGATCGACAGCGGGATGTGAAGAGGAAAATGATTGGGGCATAAACTATTCGCCTGTCACAGCTACAGCCGCTGAAGTGGAAAGGGTGGATGGTGATTTCGCAAAACACTTCAAGCCTATGTATACCTCTGCATTCATTTGCTGGAAACCCTTCCTAGTATCTATCAGGAGGAATGCTGCTCCGGGATCTGATGCCATTTACTTTAAGTTTTTGGCCTTTTTTCATCGCTCACTGCCTCCTTTCACAGCTTTTACTCTCATGCAAGGTAAGCACCGCGTTAAGGCGCATGGGGGTGGGAGGCTGGGGGGGTTGCACACATCTAACTAGATGTAGTGATGAGGGGGAGAGATGCTGAACTAACTTACAGTAGCCTGGTCTATCTGTGCTCATCTTGCCGCAGCTATCATACTATTATGGGTTTCTTGCTTAGATGTGGAAGTCATGTGAAAATACCCCAGGAAAGTCTTTGTTTGGATGTGTAAATGTACATAATTAACATATCTGAAAATGTGTTTTATAAAAGTAAACAACATTTAAAAAATATGTTTCAAAAGTACTCTAAGATGTAAAAAAATTCTGGTAATAAATAAATTATTACCAGATTATTAACCCACACCCCCATTTATTTCCTCTCTGCATGTTTTAAAAGAGGTTTTTCACTATTAAAACTATAATTCAGAAAGAAAATGATAGCAGCTTATGATTGTGGGAAGAGGGGTCAAATAAATGTGATAAGAGCATTTCTGAAAAATAGTGTACAAGACAAGGATGTTCAAAACAATATATGTGCATGGCCAGGTCTGATGGTTAAATCATGTTCACCTTGAAGATGTTAAAGGAGGTCTCCATTAACCCCTAAGTGTCATCAGGCTCATGCTGCTGTTATGGAAGTACCTTACAATCAGAAAAGGCCCAAGTTTACATGTTTTTGTCGGGGTGCAGGGAGACCTTTGCTCTCGAAGAAAACAAAGTTTTCTAAAAATAAGGACTAAGATCAGTGCGTCTGAAATAATTATCTATAGTAAAATAGGTAATCTCTGTCATAAAACTACTACAAATTGTACAGTTTATAAAGGTTGATTGAGGAAAATGGGAATCATCTGAGAAAAAAAAGAATTCTGATGTAAAAATGGGCCATAAAATACAAAAAAATAAAAGAAAATCAAATAAAACACACAATCCACCAAGAACTGTGTGAAAATCAAGGTATGCAAAGTCCTGATAGATAGTAAAAACCAAGATGTTGATGTGAGACTGGGGAGCACACATATGAACATTTTCCCTCCCATTGCTGCAAGACTCATCGAACTGAAGGGAGTAGCAGCAGCTATAAAGGGGTTGGGTTTTCTAACTTTTCCACAGTAAAAAACACATTTTTTGCTGAGAGGATTAGTTTAAACATTCAGTGAAACATTAATTGCATTTAGCACAATTAAATAACTTTTCCAGGGATTAAAGAAAAATAAATTAGAAGTCGAAGAACTCAATATTTAATAGCGTGTCCTAATTAGTGCTGTGATGCTTTAACAATCCAGCTGTGCACACAGACCCACACATAAACCTTCAGCCTTCCTCTACATAAAACAGCCAGTTGTGTTTTCTGTTCTCAGCATTCCCACCAGGATCCCTGCACCAGGCATATGTTACCGATGACTATTCTAACCTTTGCCCCCTTGCAGCTGCCTACAGGTGGTGAGCTGTTCTCACACGCATGCAGTGTTGCCAGGGTTCATGTGGAATGTGATCTGCTCGAGTTTCCAAGTCCACCAACGCACACTCCTCGGGGCAGCCTGCTGCCCACTCTGCTGGTGGGTGGCTTCTTTCAGGGAGAGCAGCAGCAGAAGCCGTCGACGTGATACTATTCCGCATGTACTACATATACACACACAGCAGCCCCAGTGACAACAACAGTGGAGCTGTGATGTGAAAGGAATGCTGAGAGGAGGAAATCCACGGTGTTGCTAACTGGGAGGCTGCTGAGTGTACACTGTTTGTGCTACACTGTGTTGTGCTGATGATACTTCTGAGTGATACAGCCTCTCTTTTCCTTTCCCTCACCATCAGGGAGAGCTCCAGAGGTCATGCTCGCGGACTGTGGCGGAGAAAGTTGGCGAACAGTGCCAGGTGGCGTGTCACTGTAGGAGATACCCTCCCCTCCCTCCACCGCCTCCTCCACCACCTCCCCCTCGGCTTCTGGGAACCACAGGTAAGACCCCAACCTACTGGTTTCCCCGCTGACTCCCTTCAAGTCTGCCAGTGCTCCGGTCCCAGGTGGAACTAAAGTTAGAGAACTAGTTTAAGGAAAGTGTTTGAAGCTTGGCTGTTCTTTTTGTTTTTCGCACAGTGGGGAAAATGTACCATCGCCCTCCCTCTGAGATTAGAGCATAAGCACAGTTTTTCACTCTTACATCTGTGCATGTAATAGAGCCAGCAGGATGTTGACAACTGAACACAGGACTAATTTATGCTGGGTCTGACCTTGGGGAGTATCCAACTGTCTGAGAACTCCATGCCTGCTGGGCTACCATGCTCAGAGGTTCAGTGGTAGGGTTTCCCTGAGAGGAATCCCGCCTCCCCCGATTATAACACAAATGGGTCTTTTTAATTAGCTAACAAGGTACTTATGAAACAGTGCAGTAGTTCTACCTTCAAAGTTTAGCCAGCAGCATCAAGAGTCCATGTTGGTACCAAAAGGAGCTGGGCTTTTACAGTACATCTGTGCTGATCTAATGCTTGTTGAGGCGGTGGATAATATTTCCTCTGACAGACTGGAAACTATCCAGCTAAAACCAGATATTTAAATCCACTCTATTAAACATTTTATCTTCATTTCCTACAATGAATCAGAGCAATTTCAGATCATTTAGGGCTGCGGAATCCCTTAATAATGTCAATAATTTCTTCAATAATTTGCAGAGTTTTATTTTATGGCTTGGGTCAAACTATTTGGGTTCTCACAACTTGCTAGAATTTTGGCCCTTTCGTCCTAATACAGCTAGTATTATTGTCTTAGGTTTGTTGGCTGCCTTTCTCACAAAGCCCTTTTCAGGTCTACATGCCAATGTTCTATATGAGCATTATGAGCTTAAATTTGTTCTTCTTTAAGTAATTTGCAGCTCATCTTGTGGTGTGTTTAAAGTAATTATTAATTTGAAGGTGTCATGTTCTTTTTAAGGGATCTGACCAACATGCAGGAAACCACTCAGAGAACCAGAGTAAAAGTTTAACATGTTTATTGAAAACACACGATGCGTTGGATCCAGGGTAACTCAAAGAGCTGGTGAACCGGAACTGGAAGTGAGAAGGGAAGTTCAGAGTTAAGTTCAGGTTCCGTGGGAAACTTGAACGATGACTTGCAAAAACGTAGATTGAAACAGGACTCATGTTTCTCAAAAGGTGTTCTTCCCAGAATCCAGTCGGTGTGGATTATTCCAGAACTTGGTTGACTCGTTGGAGGGCAGACAGGTCTTACTTTGGTTAGGTTGGTTCCTTGAGGAGCAATGGAGCGACCTGCCACTTAGATTTCCAGGAGAACTTGCACGGTACGTGTGGAGATTTATCCCCTGCTCAGTGTGAAGCTCAAACAATCCTTTCAAGGGGAGAAGCCCCAAACATCCAGTTTGTATCCCCTGCTCAATGTGAAGCTCAAACGATCCTTCCAGGGGGAGAAGGCCAAACATCCAGTTTGCAGGATGACTTCCTGCCGAGAGGCAAAGACAAAAAGCAAGGTTAGAACTCAGAGAGACAAAGACTCAGTTAGACTCAGCTAAACTCAGCTTGGCTAGAGTACCCAAAACTTTCAAACACTCTGGCGTCGAGGTAGTGGCAGTCCCCCGCTTAAGAGTCCTCAGATAATGAGCCAACCAGCCGCAGGTGTGTGGAAGGGCCAACGAGAACAGGGCGCAACCTAGTGGTGGAAGGGGAAAACACAAACAAAAACACAACCCACACAGAACAGGATTCCTAACAGAAGGTCTTATTTGGATTTGTCTTTGTTGTCAAGCCCTGATCCAAGTCAAACAGGTTTTTTGGGGGGCAGAGCTGAAAACCTTACTTACGTCCACCAGGGCTGTTAGGAGGAATAGGTCAAAATTCACTCAAATCTTGGGAGGATAAACGAAATGTATGGATCCGGCCATACTGCTTGAAAGATCCACTAACCATATTTGAAAACTATACAATAAAATATAATATAACATCAATATAATAAAAATATTGATGAAAGTAAAAAGAAAAATAATATATCCCCTTTTGTTATTGTGACACTGAGCAAATATAGATGATTTTTAAAATCTCAATTTACCTCATTAAGAAAAGGCTTTGATTTCAATGTCATGTCAGACCTTGAACTAAAATGATCATGTCTCTATTTACTAAAGTGTAAATAAGTATCAAGTTGCATCTGAAGTATTCTGAGCGTTCTCGCTGAAAGTTGATATGATCTGTAAATCATCTCAGGCTTCCAAATGAACACTGCACTGAAATATGGGACAAGTGTTGCTGATGATGCAGCCATTCTGAGCTACTACTGGGACTCTTTGGAATCAGTCACCCTGTAGCCCAGAGAAAAGGAAGAGCACTTAATCACTAAGAAGTAGGAAGGAAGGTTTTAATCTATCACCTTCAATGATTTTTTTCTCCCCGTCCATTCAATGTGGATGGATCTCTTTTTTCCCCCTCCTGACTCACCCCGAGAGTTAAAATCAAGAGTTATAGACTCTTCTGTGCCTGTTGTCAAGGTCACTGCATGAGTGCTGCCATGGCCATCTGACAGCCAAATGTGGGGTTTGAATGCCCAGTGGTACCCAGTTATTCATTTACCCTGTAAATGCTGCATCTGCATGTTTTCAGTGTCCAGTAAATCGTGAAATGCATAAGTGGTCCAATTTATATTCTCCGCCAACTTAAAATGGAACTGTTCGCTGAAGGTAGAGAAGGCATGAATAATTTATTTTAAGAGGGGGCTTCTTTTTTTTTTAAACTAAAGAGAGGCATAATTATCTTGATATTCCCCATGTAGCCTGATTTGAAGAGGTCTTAGAGCTGAAGTTCTGTAGTCTTTAAAAATGCATCGAATATGCATGACCAACATGAAAAACTAGGACAAAGACTGAGTCCATATCTGTCTGCTAAAAGGAGAGAGCTGCGTGTTAAATAAATGTCTGTCTGCTAAAAATGGTACGGCAGGTTAATTCAAGGGATTGGAGCTTTACGGCACGGTAGATCTTTAACACTGACTGAATTAAACCCTTCAGCCGTTGACAAAACGTAGGATTAAAAGGAGAGTTTGGCAGAGAAGAGCTTTTGAGTTTACAGCGACTTATGTTAGGGCGTACTGAAGCAGTGAGAGCCATACTTTTACCTCAGAGAAATGTGCTGCACTGGAAAATTTAAAGTTAGGGGAGAAGTATTTGTTTGGTATAAAACTCTGAACTTCATTCACCCTGTAATAACATCATATACAGAGTTATTAGATTGTTGTTGTAAGGATTGTGCAGTGTATTATTTAAGGTTGAATAAATCTCCATTGTTTTGATCTTACGGATTTTGGAGAGCATGAAATTCTGCATAATGCGTGGAGAGAAGCTCTGCATTACAGACAGGGAGTTGCTGATGCACGTAATGTTATACAACATCCCTGTGAGTGGTCCGACTCCACAGATCTAATGTGGAAAGAGCAGGAGGTTCTTGCAATGGTAATTGGTGTAGACAAGAGTGCTGGTGTAAGGGGGGCTGACGGGTCCTTAAATGATTCATGGTGTCAGACTGGATATCTTTGAATGCTGAACCTAAGACCTCCAGTACAGGCGAGGACACAGCTCAAAGAGCAGGGGAGCAAAATCATCTCGGTGCTGCTCATTTACTGACTTGTATAAAAGCTGAGCCAGATACTTTGTCAAAATTGTTATTGGGCTTTAACATGTTACATTTTCCAACAGTTTGTCTGATTTACTGCCTTTTTTTAATCTTCCATATATGTGTATCTCTTCTGTCCCCCCTTCTTTTCTCTACTTTCTTAGTGGCAGAGCCAATGGTGCCGCTGTTGAGGCCCTGGTGGATGGAAGTGGACGCTGTAGTGCTTGGGACAGTGAGCTGTGCCTCAGTTATCTTCCTTCTTTCTGCCATCATCATCTGCTACAAGGCTATCAAAAGGTTAGGTACAATCATTGTCTTTTTTTTTTTTTTTTTATAAAAATTTCCTCTGACCTTTAGAGTGGCTCGAGAAAAGTCCATAGAGACCTTCATGGATTTTATTAATCTGGCAGAGCAGGTACAGCCAATCCTTACATCTATGAGTGTGATGCAAATGATGGATGATTTGATGAAAAGCTTGCAGCTACTGGACTCTTCAGGAGGGACAGATCTTTGTTATCTGTCTGACAATCCAATGGACAAGTCTGGGTTTGGCCCTTATAAGAAAGCGTCACTTCCCTGAAGGCCTGATGCCAACTATCAAATTCAGGGCAAAGCAGAATAAACTGTCCTCTTCTGGAGTTTGGCTCAGTCTCTAAATAACAGTTAAAGAGAATAAGACTTTCCTACTTTTTTAAAGTATCACTGTGTAACTTTTAACCCAACTACTAGATTAATTTATGATATATTTATTCAGTTCTTGGTGATGTATCAATGCTCCATGCAGGCTGCCCTTCCCAAAAACTTGCATTTATAATTTTAGGGGTTCAGATGCATCACTAAATAAGTAATTTGACCCAGAGGGTTGCTTTACTGCAGGCTGAGCTTGACTTAAACATTAGAGCTGAGCTACAAGTTCTTTTTAGGCAATAAAAAAGATATAAAGCTTCCCTGATCAGACATATTTTTGTTTTTCTTATGTATGATTTAATCTAAGAGGCTGGATGTGACCTTTTCTGTAAGTAACCCAATAACTTCTTAGTCTGCTCATCCAAAGTGGTCTGATTTCAGAATCCGGAATAAAGAGAGAGACTATACAATTTTGTGACAGTGCAGTGCTGTCGGTGGCCATCAGGGGTACTGAACGTGGAACTTATAGGTCAGGCACTCGGTGCTGACCAGATTTTCCACAGTGTTGGTTTGGAACATTGGAACAACTGGACTGAGCACCGCTTCCTAAAGCCATGGATGAGCAATGTTGGTGTGACAGAGCCACATTTAACAGAGTCCAACCTCAGTCTCTGAATCCACAAGAAATTATCAGAAACACTCAGAACATGCAGTTAGTAACACTGTTGCTTTGCAGAAACAAAGCCCTGGGTTCAAATCTTTCTGCACAGAGTTTGCATTTTATCTAGGGCTGAAACAATTAATTAGATTAATTGTGATTAAGCAATTAGTCAAATAATCGTCAACCATATTAGTCATCGAATCGTTTAAGGTAGTATAGAGACTGTAAAATCAGCATTTAGCTGACAGAGCAACCCACCTAGAGCAGCAATTATACCAATATTGTAAATAATAAGTCAAAAGGTCAAATAAAAAGATGTTTTGTAGAGAAGTTGAGGCAGTTCACCAGTACACCAACTTAAAACTTTCAGCTTGCACTTTTCTATTTTCCTTTCTCTTTTAGATGGAAGCATGATGTTGGTGGAAAGAGCCAAATAATTAAATGTATTAAATATACAAGACAAAACTAAACAAAATAGAAGGTATTGCACAGTTAGGAATTCTATGTCAATAGAGAAAATCAGAATTTAAAGAAATTGCTTCTTTGAACAGAAAAAAACATTTTCTACAACTTTAAACAAATCTAAAATGTAAAAAGCACAGTTTTAGCTCCATGTCTCCCACAGAAACAGGTAACAGCAGTGTGCCAAAGAGATAAGATAGACAGAAAAGATGCTGAGGTAAGCAGACCAATTTACTTAATGAGAAAGATAAAGATTATAGGCGACATTCAGCAAAACACGAGGTTTAGGTGAGGTGGATTAGAAAGGACCCAATGCGAGACAATAAGAACTCATGAATTATAAAAAGTAAGGCAGTTAGGAATTCTGTAATATAGAGAAAAAAAAAAGAATTTACAGAAATGGCTTAATATGCAGACACATAATAATGTACAAAGGAGCAATGGATACCCGCGAACAGGCAGGCAAATTAACAAAATCAATATAAATAAATATATAATTTATTGAACAAATAAATCATCAAAAAACTCAAATCTGAGTCTATATGATTAAGAACAGGAAACATACAGCCCAGCACTTTAAATGGTTTTACAAAGAGTAAATATAGCAAACAATATAGTTAGTAATAATTTCCATAAGTGACTAATGCTTTTGAACATGGTTTGTGAACATGAACAAAAGTGGCGATTATTGATCAAATAAGACAAAGCGTTCCTAGCTTCCTTCCCATTTGGCGAATTAAAAGATAGAAGTTGAGCTGAGCGCCTGCAGCCGCAGCAGATTCAGACTTTGTTTTGAACATTTCTAGCTGCAACGTGTAATACAGGCTCTCTGACCTCCAGTTAAACATTCAACATTTGTTTCCACCCAGCAATCCCTGCTGTGATTACTTCAAGTGCTGTGGAAAATATGCACACATTTCTTCTGTTTTGTCAAACTTCAGTGTTTCTGATTGCATAAAAAATCTCATTTTCAGACGATAACCCGAAGTCCCCAGTAAATACAAAAAGCAGTTTTTAAATGATGATCTCATGAATTGAGGAAGTAAAACTGTCCGAAGCAGCCTGCTCCTAAATGAATAAGTAATTACCCTCCAAACCTAAAATCTGTTATTGACACCCTCGGTAGCAGCAATTCCCATCAAGTGCATGGGGTTTCTTTTTGCTTGAGAAATCCCCAAGCACTTGCACTTAATTGGCCCCATTTATCTTTAAAAAATAAAGAGCCTGATTATTGTCATGCCATAGAATCTCCATTGGATGTTTACTTTGACTAGGTCAGTAAAAAACTTTCATGTTTAATCTTCAATTTTTTAAATATTTATTATTATTCAAAGGCAAACCTGACATTCTCTGTCTGGATGTTCTGGTAAAGAGTGAAGTTCACTCCTCTGCTCATTACAGAGAGGTGCCTCAGTCCTGACATAGCACTAGAGCCCCAGACCATTACACCTCCACCACTATGTTTGTGTGTCAGTGTGATGTCGTGTTACTGTTATGCTGTCTTAGTTTTTTACACCAGCCACTTTCTTCTGGTCATTCCATGAAATAATTTCCCAAAAGTCTTAAGAATTATCAGAATGTTTTTTTTATTTTTATTAATTAATTAATCTATTTTTTTTGTTTGTTTGCTTTAGCAAATATGAGATGTAACTTTGGGTTATTAGGGGTCAGCTTATTGCCATTTTTTCTCTGGCTTTCTATTTGTTAAATCATGATTTATTAGCTTAAAGGAATAGTACACCCAAAACATGATTAGCCTTCATTTTCTACTCACCCCCATGCTGAACAACACTCTGGAGTACTTTTTTGATATCTCAAATGCATCTGGAGATCTGGGAGGCTTCTTGCTGTCTGCTGACATTCAAATAATGGAGGTCTATGGTGCCCAAGGCAGAAAGGTCCATAAAAGTCCACAAAAAACGTGTCAATATTCCTCCATACTGCTCGTCCAATGTATTCCAAGTGTCCTGAGTGGGTAGCGTCCATAATTTACTCGAAACAAAGTCATTTAGAATGTTTTTAGAGCATAAACAGTAGTGTATAGGATTTCCTGAAAGCGCCCGCCTGCGCGTTCACGACGCTACGGAAGCCGGCAGACCAAACCAGATGAAAGTGCGCATTCAGCGTCTGCTCTGCCGATAATGCAAGCGTAGAAGAAGAAATGTGCTGTTTACCTGTGCAAAGAAAGAAACAACGCAAGAAAAATGTCTGAGGACTTCAGTGTTGAGGAAGAGCATGAGTTCTTTGCCGAGCTGAATGCGCACTTTCATCTGGTTTGGTCTGCCGCGGTTTCCGTAGCGTCGTGAACTCGCAGGCGCGCGCTTTCAGGAAATCCTATACACTACTGTTTATGCTCTAAAAACATTCTAAATGACTTTGTTTCGAGTAAATTATGGACACTACCGACTCAGGACACTTGGAATACATTGGACGAGCAGTATGGAGGAATATTGACACGTTTTTTGTGGACTTTTATGGAACTTTCTGTCTCGGGCGCCATAGACCTCCATTATTTGAATGTCAGCAGACAGCAAGAAGCCTCCCAGATCTCCAGATGCATTTGAGATATCAAAAAAGTACTCCAGAGTGTTGTTCAGCATGGGGGTGAGTAGAAAATGAAGGCTAATCATGTTTTGGGTGTACTATTCCTTTAACTAAAGGAGCTGAGGCCTAGTGGTGTAGATATTGTCCTGGGTTCCTCTGTTACCTACTGGAGGAGCTGTTGATGGGCTTTTGGTGTAATCTTTGTTGGCAGGAATGTTCACCACTATTTCATGTGTTTTCCGTCTGTAGATGATTTCTCTCGCTGTGGTTCTCTGGACCACAGCGAGATTTAGTTTCATACATTTATGGAAGTATATTATATCAGCTTCCCAGATATGGCCTCCCTCAGCAAGATCTATTCCTCCCCTCTTTAGAAAAAAAAACAAATAGGCAAAGTCAGGGTGTGGAAGTAATGGGTGGTTGGCTCAGGAATTCATTATGGCAAATCTCCACCCCTCCCGTAGCCAAGGGGCACCATTTTTAATGCAGCAGTGGTAAGACCGTGTCATCGCAATACGAGCTGAAGCTCCAAAGCCAAGTTATTATTTATAGATTAATTTGCGCAGTCATTCAGTCGCAGACCACATCTTTTATACATGCAAGCAGGTTGTGTCCTTAAGCTCCGAGGGCGCTCCAGTCTGCAGGCTTCATACCTCAGCAAGCTGTGAGAATACACAGCTCCATACTGCGTCATCACACATTCATTAGTCACCAGCTAGTAGGTGAGCCGGTCAGGTTAAAATGTGACCTGTCTAGCTTATCACGATGAATGCTCCGATGGACAATCATTCCTCAGAGAAAGCAAGGCAGGGAAAAAGACAGATGCAGTGTGTCTACTGAAGCAAGCCAAGGCAGTAATTGAGCATCTTGGTCAGTAATAATGTGAGAAAGAGTTTGTTCACAGTGAAGAGCACAGTCGGTTATATATAGCCCTTCCAGCCGCTCAGTGGTCCGGGCTTTCCCAATAAAAAAATCAACTGGCTGAGGGCCAAAGTCTGAGCAT